GGGATCAAGGCTCTGGTTTCCTGCTGCTGCCCCCGCCCAGGGCCCGGGGACCCTGGAGGGCAGACCCTGCTCACCAGGTGGGCATGAGTAGGAGAGCTTGGTGCCTGGCCCGTCTCCAGCAGTCACTTCCTTGCCAAAGGAGACCTGATTCTGGAGTTTCGCCTCCCCCCAGGTGGCCAGTGCCTCAGGCAAAGCAAGTTCCGCCTCCAAGCCAGGGGCCAATCTGGACAAGCCTGAGCTGCCTGGCAATCCCATCTCTTTAGGGGTGACTGGCGTAGGAGTAAACATATGACATCATTCTGCCCATGAGACGAGAAGGAAAGACCTGCGGAGGCTTAGGGAAATGCGTTCTCAATTTCCATGAACCCACAGGAAGAGACGTCTTTGTTTCCCCAGGCCCATGCATGGATTGGCTTGTGACGCCTGGAGCGGCTGCAACCATTCTGTAACCATGAGGGGAGCCCGTGTGGTGGTAAAGGAAAACGCAGGGAGACGAGGCCAGCCATTGCGGGGAAGGCAGGGCCAGAGGCTGACAGATCCACCAGGATCGATCACTTGCTCGTTCTGCGATGCTCAGTTTCCTTGCTAAAGTGGGTCAGGATTGTCCATTTCAGCCAAAGGACCTAGGTGACCAGCCGGGCATCCCAGACACGGGCACGAATATGAACGAGACCCGTGGAGATTTGCCTCCTAAGCCCCGAGTGGGGTGTGTGCCACATGGGCCCTGGTGTGAGGCCGCGGGGGCAGGCGGGCGGCCCTGCGGCCTCCCCCGAACACTGTGTGTGGCCGAGGGAGCAGGAAACAGAACACACAGACGCACGGATCCCACCGACTCCGCGTCCCGGCTGAGCCCACAGCTCCCCGTTCTCATTAACCCGAAAGGAAATTGGCCCGAGCCCTCGGCTCATCGACATCCATCACTCTCTGACAACCGGCATATTCCAGCCCGACCCTCGGAGCGTCTCTGGCTGCCGGTGGTGATAAATGCGGGTCCTCCCCGCTGGGGAGGGAGCTGCCGCAGGGAGGCCGCATCTTTTCAGCAATCACTTCAAGTTTGAAGACCTCTATTTTGGGGTCCAGCAAGCTGGTGCCCCCCAGCCCCCAGCACATCTGAGCCGGGAATGGTAGTGACAGTGGCACAAACACTGTCGT